CCGCAGTGACACCATGCTGAAGAAGTCCTCCTACAAGGTGAGTTGCTGCTGTCTTTGTGTCCAGCTTGAAGAGATCTTGCAATCGGCAAAACCAGAGCTGAAGCATCTCCCTAGCGAGTACCCGTCACCGTTTGCCTGCTGCACAGGGGAGTAACTCCCTGTACTGCAGCGCTGGCGGATTGCATTAAAAAAAAGAACTGAAAAGGTGGTTGCTGGTGAAGCTCATCTTTCATCACAGCTCTGGTGGTGGCATTTGTGCACCCCGTGGGGCAGTTTAGGGGAGCCCCAGGAGGGAGGGAGAGGGCTGGGTGGTCCCAGGAGCCCTCGTCCTCCCTCGCAGGCTGCCCGTGGCTGCTTTTCACCTCTCGCTTGTGCTTTCTCTCCCCCAGGGTGCTCTCCTCAAGGGCAGGCGCTGCGTGGTCCTGGCGGATGGCTTCTACGAGTGGCAGCAGAACAGTGGGGGGAAGCAGCCATATTTCATTTACTTCCCTCAGACCAAGGATGCTGCGGTACGGAGTCTCTCACCGTGTCTGAACGCTCGTGCCCAGCTCTGAGCCCCTGCTCCCTCCAGCTGCCCAGGGAAAAGCCCCCTTCCCTCCAGCTGTGCCCACCTCTGGGGGTCTCTCCTTCCCAACAGGGCTCTGTTCTGTGGTGGGCTCAGTGTGCTGGCATCCCTGTGGCCGGTGGGCCCTGCCACTGCGGTCCCCTGGCTGCAAACGGTGCCGCAGCCTCCCCGCCGTCACAGTCACTGCTCCCCACATGCCAGATATTTGCATGGGTAGGCGATGTGTCTCGCAGGGGACTGGGCTGGGAGTTTCACTACCTCTTTCCTTTCGTTGGGATGTTCAGAAGGGGAGGAGAGCGCTGGCTTGCCTCAGGGAAGATGAGGCTCTCTTGGAGTTACCTCCTGGAAAGCCCTCAAATTAGTTCAGTTAATGACTTTAGATCTGAGTTGTTGACCTGCTGCAGCACTGGCAAGTCTGTGATCCTTCGTCTGCCGTGGGTCAGCACCAACCGGGGCGATGGGGCCTCTCTCCTGCAGGCTGAAGGGACGGAGGGAGATGACGAGTGGAGAGGTTGGAGGTTGCTCACCATGGCTGGGATTTTCGACTGCTGGGAGCCGCCAGCGGGAGGAGAAATGCTGTACACTTACACCATCATCACCGTGGATGCCTCCAAGGACGTGAGCTTCATCCATCACAGGCAAGTGAGAGCGGGCAAGGGGGCTGCAGGGCCGGGGAGGGGGGCAAGGGAGGAAAGCTAGGCCTTTAAACATCGGTCTGGCAGCCGGCAGACAGGGAGTCCTGCTTCCTCCCGATGTCTGGGAGAAAAATGTTAAAACATTACCGGCTTGTTTCGGGTCACTGGTTCACACACTTTCCATAAATCACCATCCCTGTACCGTGGTGGGTGGCAGCCGGAGCTGGATGGCTCCCTGCCTGGGGCCTGGCAGTCAACCCCTCTGCCTCTTCCAGCAAAGCAGATACCTGGGCAAAGCGAATGCATGCTCTGCCTTGCAGGAGAGCATCCTGCTACTTCGGTTTTCCCCGTTTCCCCCCGAGCTGCTAGCTCCTTGCTAGCTTACAAGCCTGGCTTTTGCCATCCCACTCTGCCGTACCGGTGCTGGGCTCTGGGTCTGACTGTCCTGTCCCCTAGGATGCCAGCCATCCTGGATGGGGACGAGGCCATCAGGAAGTGGCTGGACTTTGCTGAAGTGCCAACTCAAGAAGCGGTTAAACTCATCCAGCCCACAGAGAACATCGTTTTCCACCCAGTGTCCACCTTTGTCAACAGCATCCGCAACAACACGCCCGAGTGTCTCGTGCCCATTGAGCTGGGAGAAAAGAAGGCGAGTGCTGGCAGGGGCTTGGCAGGGGAGGGCTCGGCCGTGGTGACGTCCCTGAGCAGGGCTGGAGCTGCCAGGCTGCAGGAAGGGCAGCAGCAGGCAGCGTCTGCAGGGCCTGCCCGTGCTGGAGTGCAGAGCCCCAAACAGATTCCCTTCCCTCCGCTTCCAGAAATAAACTGTCACCTCGTGCCAGGATTTCTCTGCCAAATGAGGCAAATTCCATGTGAAATGGGGCTTGGAACAAGCCTGTTTGCAGCAGCCCAGGGAACCCCCTGCAGATGTACCTGATTGCAGGCCGGGCCGTTGCTCCAGCCTGCGCATCCCATTCTGGACCAGCTCTCGCAGCCGGCTCTCTGCCCGGCTCTTGCTGTGCTTCTGACTTTTCTCACACTGCCTTTTGTCTCTCCAGGAGGTCAAAGCCACCCCAAGCAGCAAAGTGATGCTGGGCTGGTTAAAAAACTCCCAAGAGGACTCTCCCCAGAAGAAAGAAAATGATTTGCCCAGGTGGACAAGTCAGTTCATCCACAGCCCTTCGCCCAAGAAAACCAGCACCAATATCCTGCAGCAGTGGCTGAGGAAGGAAGGAGAGCCCGCTGCAAAGAAACGCAAGGCATAGGCACCAGCTGGGATGGCTGGCCATCCTTTTTCCTCCTGATTTTCCTAAGCAAAATGAAGAATGGTTTTGGGTTTTTTTGGAAGGCTTTGCAGACTGGAGTTGAGATTCTCCAAGTCTCTCAGGTGTTGATCTGATGCTCTAGGTTGCTGTCTCTGTTCTCTGTGTTTTGTTAAAGGTTGGTGTTTGTCTTTAAAGGTTTTGGCTTTGTCTTGTGCTGACGGGAGTGAATATAACCTGCTGGCCTCTCCCCTGCCAGTCACTCATGCCAAGTGAAGATAAAGCCCTGAGAAGCATCTCAGCCTGCCAGGGAAGAGTAGCTTCTGCCTTCTTGACAGTATTCATAGTTCGTGTGTCCTGTTTTCTTTTCTTCACCCTTTTTTTGGTATTAAACCAATACTTCTTTTCTATTTTATTTCATACTGTTTCTGCACAAGTTCCTTTCTAATACTATCGCCCTCCAAAGATGGCTGCAGGACAGAAGAACATGCAATAATTATGAGGATGAAACCCCAGGCTGGGAAGATCTGCCAGATTCATCCCGCTCTGCACCCGTGCTGCCACACGCATTCGTGGCTCCTGAACAGGGAGATGTTTAAGCAGTGCCTGAGGGGAAATGGGCTGTGCTTGGGTTTCCCTGGGGACAGCAGCCTGGGACAGCATGTCTTGGTCACGTTGTTAGTACAGTCATTTTGTTAATGGGATTTGAAGACTTAGAGAGGATTTTCTTGATCTGTGGAGGGATGCGCTCTGCCTTGTTCATAAAGGTCATTCATTAAAGCCCAGATAACCAAAGTGCCATTACAGAACAGCACAGGGCAGTTGTTTTTGAGGTCAGAGATTTTGTAAACAGAGCCAGATGTTACAGACCAAAAGCCTTACACAGTGGGACCCTTACTGGAAAGCAGTACTTCATTTGTATTGGAAACAATAAATTGGAATTAACTGGTTGACTGCACGGTGCCCTTGTCCATGAGTGTGTCTGTGTCCCTCTGGCCACCCACATCCCTGTTGCTCCTATTTTTCAGGCAGAGCTCATACCTCCTTTCCATCTGCTGTGGGGAAAACCAGCTACCCGCTGCTGAACTCTCAGGGTACTGGCAGGGCCTTGTTGCTGAAGCATTTCTATTTGCCAGTGGAAAATATTCCCCAGGGATTGATTTTGGGGCTCCTCTCCAGTGATCTCTCCCCAAGGAGCTGCAGGGGTGGCCACAGCTGGGGCTCGTCCCTGGGGAGGGACAGCGGGGCCGGGGCAGGAGCTGCAGGACGGGCACCCCAGGATCCCCGAGCGCTCTCAGAGCCAAACCCGTCTCCAAATCCCTCACATGCCATGGAGGTGGCTGAGCCCAGAAGGTCTCCTAGTTTACAGGAAATTGGGGTGAGATTAGGATTTCCAGACAGAAACTCTGGTGCTAGCTGGCTCCTCATCCCTCCCACGGTGACTTGAGTGAGGCAAGAGAGTCCCTGCAGTAGCAGCTCCTGGCAGAATAAATGAGTCTTCAGGTGCTGGGGCCGTCACCTCCGCCTTGCAGGAGCACTAAGGGAGGTTTCTCTCCCTGCCAGGCCATCATTCCCCCAGGGTGAGCAGCTCAGCTGCCCTGGGCTGGTCGCTGCTAGCTGCAGATCAGGCTTTTCCAAAGGTCACAGGCTCATCCCAAATTCGTTTCAGGTCTCCAGTTGCTATGGAGGGAGTGAAGATGCTGAGCGTGAGTGGGGGACACTCACCTTGGCCCACTCTGGGGAACATAATCCTTTCCTTGGAGAGGCAGGGGCAATGCAAAGACACAGGGTACAGATTACCTCCCTCCAGATTGTGAGCACCAGCAACATCATCACCGAAAAAACACGCTGATGGTTTAAGGAGAAGGTGTTACTGCTGAACTACACCACCTTTAAACTGGAGCCTGGCTGCTCGCCCAACACCGTTTGCAGCAGTTGCTTCTACCTGGTGAGGAGATGACCACGCTCAACCCAGTGTGACCCGGCCCCCCCAAACTGGCTCGGGGACAGCTTTCCCCTTCGAGGTATGATGGCGCTCTGGCAGGGAGGGCAGCGCTCACTGCGGGTGGGGGGATGCTCCAGGGAGTGCAGGGGACTCCCCCCTCCTCGCAGCACCCTCCCCCCGCTCGCAGGCCCTGGCACCCTCCCAGGAGAGGCATCCCGCGGCGGGGGCTCGCCGTTTGGGCAAGGTGAAAGGGACAGCCGGTGAGGAGCAGCGCTGTCGGAATACCCACGGGGGCTCCGGGCAAATCACCCTGTCTTGGTTTGGGCTTCCCTCGGCCCCGGCGCAGCCAGGAAGGAGCTACCGGCGTGGGGGGCAGCGCTGGCCGCGGCCGGCTGCGAGCGGGGCCCCCCCCGCAGCGAGGGGCACAGCCGGGGCGCTCCCCGCCCGGCGCTGCCCTCGGCCCCGGCCCCGCGGCAGAGCCGGGGCGCTGCGAGCCCTATGCAAATCAGGGATCGAGGCGATAACCAATCAGCGCCGCGCCGGCCGCCGCGGTAACCAATGGGCGGAGGCGGGCGGCGGGGCGGGCAGGGATATCCGAGGCGCGGCGGCGGCAGCGCTGGCAGTGCGGCGGCGGGCGGCGCGCAGGGCGGAGCGGCGGCGGCGGCGGCTGCTGCGGGTAAGGGCGGTGCGGCGGCGGGCGGGGACCGGGGGGGGGGGCGTCCGGTGCGGCGACACGGTGCAACGGCACGATGTAACGGCGTTTATCTCCCTGCAGGCGCCGGGACCGTCTGTGCGCGGCGCTTCTCGGGGGGCGGCGGCGGCGAGGGGGCCGCTGCCTGCCGGCCATGTCGGGCCGGGGGAAGTCCGGCGGCAAGGCGCGGGCCAAGGCCAAGTCGCGCTCGTCGCGGGCCGGGCTGCAGTTCCCCGTAGGCCGGGTGCACCGGCTGCTGCGGAAGGGTAACTACGCGGAGCGGGTGGGCGCTGGGGCGCCGGTGTACCTGGCGGCCGTGCTGGAGTACCTCTCGGCCGAGATCCTGGAGCTGGCGGGCAACGCGGCCCGCGACAACAAGAAGACGCGCATCATCCCGCGGCACCTGCAGCTCGCCATCCGCAACGACGAGGAGCTCAACAAGCTGCTGGGCGGCGTGACCATCGCCCAGGGTGGCGTCCTGCCCAACATCCAGGCCGTGCTGCTGCCCAAGAAGACGCAGAGCTCGAAGAAGTGAGCGCTGCCTCCCCCTTCCCTCCCCCTCTGGCCCCCTTCTCACCGCTGCCCCATCTGCCCTCCCAAAGGGGCTGGGGTTCCCCTTCCTGCCCCCAGCCCGGGCTGGGTGGTGAGCCCTGGCAGCACCCTGCTAGCTCTCCACTACTCCCCCAGCCTGGGCTGCGATGGGGTGCTGGGGGAGCATGGGTGAGGTCAGGCCCTGCTTGTGCCCCCTGCCCTGCCCCTCTTTCCTGTGGAAGAAGTATTTTTGGCGGAGGCAGCTGGATCACAGCTGTCAGTAGCAGGGGTGGCATCTGGAGCTGTACGGTTGGGTTACGGTGCAGAGCTGCTGAGGATTGTTTGGGCTGACGTGGGGATGGCCGAGGGTACCACCGGCTGCCTCTCCCCTCCGCCAGCCCTGGGGCTGCGCAGGGCCCCCCTGAGCTGGCCCTGCTTGCCCTGGCGCGAGGACGGGACTCACTGCTGCTGTGCCCCCCACCCCCCCTCAGCAATGCCATCCCGGCCGCACTGCAGCGAGGGGAGCAGGGGTCTGGAAAATGTGAAAAGGAGGAAAAGTTTCTCCGTTGGCAAGAAGTGACTGTTAGTCTTAGTTTTGTTCATGGTAAAGCTAGTGCATTGCATACTGTAAAGAAGCTCTGGTCCTTGTTATTTTAAGGTCTCTTATTTTTGGGGGTGTCTCCCTGCAAAGTCACCTTCCCACAGCTCCCGGGGGCTTGGTGGGTGCTGGGGGACTCGGTGGTCCCATGCGCTGTGGGTCCCGCTAGCGGGGTGGGGTGGAGGCTGCAGTGACAAATCCCCTCGGAGAGCGTCGCAAGGTCAGGCGCCCGCCGGGAGCGGGAGCTGCCATCTTCTGCCGTGGCTCCCCTCCTCTCCAGCTGCAGAAGCCCTTCGTTTCGCTGAGAGCTACCCTGTACCCTGGTTGCACTTCTGGAAATGACATGCTGTGTCTTTTTTTTTTTTTTGTTGCTGTTTGTTTGTTCAACACTATTTCTGGTTCTAAGAAATAAAGCAATTATGATATCTGTTAACTGTAACCCTCGATGGATTAATATTTCTTTTTGAAAACAACCTAAGGTTTGTATAGAAGCCCACTCTTAGCTAGTGTTTTATTTATTTAATGGCTTTGTGGATAACGTGTGAGCATGGGGGCAGGCTAGCTGTCCCGTGACACCTGGAATAGCTGATGCAGAGACAGCTTTCCTTGCTGCCCAGAGCAGCCCGCTTCTGTGGAGGCCGATAGTCGTGTGCATGTGACAGTGTCTAGGCAATCAGACTGTAGACCTTCATAACATGTTTTCTAAGTTAAAAAAACAAAACAAAAAAAAAAAAACAATGAGCAACTTCTGTTTATGTGCTGTAAGTAGCATGCGTTCAACCTATTGAATCAGTTGTTTATCTTGTGGATGAAATAACTAACCCTGGCTCCGAGTTTATTATTATCTATAGAGTAGATGAACCTGGATGCTTGTCAGCGGGTTTTATGAAGGGGTTTTTTCGCTCTGTTGTGGAACGTGGAAGGGGTGTGTTCATTAGTGTCGTGCTAATGAGGGGTTACAGACATGTTATGCTGGGGTACCCTGGCCTCGGGTGGGTGGGGGGCAGCCGGGCACGGCTCCGCTGCTGCGGCACGGACTCCCTGGGATCTCTCGTCTTCCTGTAAAGTGACTGTTTCTGTCAGCGAGGTGGGGACGAGGGGTTTCCTTGCCACTGCCCCACGTGGAGGTCAACGTGTCTGTATCAGAGTGTCTTGTTCTCTCCCTCCTGTCTTCGCCAGGACCAGCATTCTGTACAACCCGAGAATGCTTTGTATTTCTTAGAAAAATGCAGAACTTGTGATACTGAAAAGAACAGTGCAAACCCAATATCTGATTAAACTGGTTCCCTGTTGAATGCTGTCGAATGTGCTGTGTCTTGTCACCTCACCAAACCTACTGAATCTGGTGGCAGCTTGGTGTCTGGGCTTGTTTTTTTTCCAACTGGGGAAGGACTAGTAAAACAACAGATCTGGCCTAGCAGTGGTCCTGCTGTGTCCTTCATGCAGACAAATAGTCCTTTCCTACCCTGAGAGCACATAAACCCCTTCTCTGGCTCTTCTCCCTGCTGTGGGAATGCCTGAGCTGCCCCTGGGCTGGGAGCAGCGGGGCCCAGGACCCTCAGGAGGTGCTTTTGCCATCAAGGGGCTGCCCCGGCACCCCTGGGGTGACCTGGCAGACGAGCAGGTGGAGATGGGCTACTGGAGGAGAAGCTGATGCTGGTGGGGAGGGAGGAGGCCTGGAGACATGAGGCTGTTTCTTACTCTGACACCCTCTCCCTTCTTCGCACAGCTCCCCGTTTACTGCTCTGGTTTCTGGTGTGCACGCTGGAGTTCCTCCCAGCTTGGGCTTTGAGGGAGCTTAGACAACTTCCAGGTCAGGGTTGGGTGCTGGCAGGTTCTGTGCTGGGTTGTGGAAGGCTGTAGGTGAAGGACTGGAGCTGCTGGGCTGGTCTCTACAGGGCGATACGCCGCCTTCTGCCCTACCAAACGTGCTGTCCAGGCAAACGGCAGAGAGCAGTTAGGGGTGCCCTGGGGCAGGGACCCCCGGGGCGGGGTGGCTCTGTAGCCCCCCTGGCTGTTGCGTGGCTCTGCCTGGGCTGGCGGGGGTGATGCCTGCAGCAATAACCAGGAGGTGGTGGCACACATCGTGCCCACACCACAGAGCTCCAGCTTGTTCTGAAATTCCGCTGCCAGCCGCGTGGCAGGCCGGCTGGGAAAGCTGGCCTGCTGCGAGGCAGACCAAAGGAAATCCTGTCTGTCGCGCCAAGCGTTGCTTAAGTGCTTGGCCTTTGCATCACCTCCTAAACTTCACATCCGAACGTCGTTGTGACGAGGAGAACGCAAGTCTTCGGTCTTCATTAGAAAGCTGGAACGGACTTTGTCGCCTTCAAGCCTGCAGCTCCAGAGGTGGGTCTTGTGGATTTTCGGAGCCGTGCTGCTGGTCCTGGCTCTTCTGATTGCTTCGTGGCACCAGAGCAGTTGAGCTCATAAAATGGGAAGGACTTGGCTGAGTAGAGCCTTCACAGAGGTCACACGAGCTTGAAAGGGTGTCCCTTGGGCTTGGCTTCCCTCAGGGAGAGGGCAGGGGGGCTGCAGGGCGCTTCCCCTCCTTCCTCTTGGGCACCTCAAGGTGAGATAAGCACAGACCAGGAGCTGAAGGTGGCTGCTGTGGGAGGCTGCTGTGCACCTCGCCACGTGCAGCGGAGCCTCCCCCAGCCGTGTACCGCAGCTCTGGCACTGGCTGCGTCTGTCTGGGCGATGACTCTGGAGCCGTGGGCCCTTGGAAGTCCCCGGGGCTCGGGTTTCTCTCCAGAGCCTGGCCCCCGCGGCTGGCAGAACCTGTTGGGAGCTCCCTCGGGGGCCTCAACCCGCCCGGTACGGCACTGCCAGCCCCTCTGACCGGGCGGCGAGGGCTCGGGCGCCGCGTCACGCTGCTGCCTTCCCTCGGCCAGGCAGCCGGAGGCTGGCGGCCGAGCCCTCGCCGGCCTGCAGGAATGCCTCCGGTGGCTTCCCTGCGAGGTAAAGCCCCTCGGCAGCCGAGCCATTTGCTTGGTGGGTCAGAGCTGTGCCCCCGGGGAGAATCCCCTGCCTGCAGCCCTGTGCCCTCCAGCTGGTGGCTGGATCTGAAGGGCAACCGCTGCCGACCGTGACGGTGGCCGACGCGGCGGTGGCATCCTCTCCAGCCCTTCCAGACCTGCAGTGTCATCTACTGACTAAGGAGACAACTGCAAATCCCTGCTGGAAGGCAGCAGGTCTCTTGGGGTACCCGGGGCTGCCGGCAGGCGCTCAGGCGTGGGGTGAGACTCGCGTGGGCAGCAGGATGGTGGCTGGCCTGACCTGGCGGCTGCTGCTCCTAAATTTAGCCGTGGCGGGAGGCTGCAGCCTCCCAGCTTCAGAACATGGCTGAGCTTGTCGAGGAGCAGAGCTGGCTCCTCTTGCCTAATTTAGCTGATGGACCTTTCTTCAGGGAGTAAAACTTGCTGCCCTTCTCCCTGCTTGTTCTTCCCAGGGGCGCAGGGATGGGGCGGGGGCACAGGGGCTGGGCGCTGGAGGAGGGGGCTGCTCCTTTCTCGGGAGCGCCAAAAGGGCCCTGCCCTCAGCCGGGGTTGTGGCCGTCCCCAGGCACTGGCTGGCCACTGTCCCTCTGTCCCCTCCTCACGGGGGGCCTGTGTGCCGGCCCGAGCCGTGCTGCGCTCCCCGGGCACCGGGAACACGTCGCTGCTCTGGGGACGGCAGCTTGGAGGGGCTGGCAGCAGCTCTGGGGTGATGCCCCTTCCCGACGCTCTCCTTCCCGGCTGGGGGAGGCTGTGACCGAGGGCTTGGTGACAGCCAGCCCGGCCCCAGGGCAGCGCTGCCCCGCTGCGGGCTCCGCCACAGCCCCCCCGGGGTACAGCGCAACGGCAACTCCTCCTCTCACCCCCCCCCTGCCCGGCCACGGGGGGTAAACTTGCGGCCGGGGTCCCCTTCCCTGCCCTCTCCTGCCACCCCGCTGTAAGCCGAGGGTCCCCGGCGGTCGCTGGGTGCGGAGCTGCGGGCTCATCCCTCGCCCCTGCAGAACAAGATGGCCCAGATCCCCGGCAGGGATTTACGCAACCTCGCCGGTGCGAGCTATAAATAGGCGCAGCCATGGAGGCGCGGGGTGGGCGACGGGCCCGGGCCCAGCAGGAGCCCCCGGGGGAAAAGCTGCCCACGCCCGGGGCTCTAAGCGAAGGGTGGAGGTGGGGGTGTGTGCCCTGGGGGCTGCCCGCCCCCCACCCCGCCTCTATCCCGGGTGCTGTGGCACGCCAACTGGGGGGGTGGATGTATGTAGGGTGGGGGGGGGACTGTTTCGCGGGGTGTCCGCCGTGGGTTCCCCTCCCATCTTCAGCTTCCACGCAGGGGAACCCTCGCTCCCCTCCTCCGGCATTTCCCGGCGCGCAGCTTCCCCCGGGGGCAGGGCGCAGTTCTGCCGCAGCCCCCCTGGGCCCCGCTCTGGCGCAGTAACATCTGGACGGGTGGGGGGGGGCCCCCTTATCTCCCCCACTCCACTCCCCCCATCCCTCCGCGGGGACCGGCACAGCATGGCTGGACCCGCCCGCCTCGCCCCCGGTGCTTGCAGGGAGCACAGGACAGCTCGACATTTTTTAACAATTTATTTGAAACGACGATAAATGAAAAAAACAAAAGAAACACACACAAAAAAAAAAAAAAAAAAAAACCACAAACAAAACCCCCCCCACCCTCCCAACAAAAAAAAAAAACAACCCAAAACCGATTTAAAAAAAAAAAAAAATTAAAGGCCATTGACGATGCGACCTGAACCGGCGGCCCGAGGGCCCCGCGGGCTGTCCCGCCAGGGGGCGGGCGGCCGCCCGCGAGCGCTGGCCCTTTAAGAGCGCCCCGACGCCGCGGTAGCCAATTGGCGCCCAACGGGCCGTTGCCATGGCGGCGGGGGCCGGGAGCCAATAGGGGGCGCCGTGGCTTTTCGAACTCGCGGCTGGCAGGCACGGTGCGCCCGGCGGGAGGGGCGGGGCGGGCCCGGGCGGCGGGAGCCGGCCCACGTGGCGCGGGGGGCAGCGGGGGCGCCGCCGCAAAATGGCTGCTATGGAAACCGGGCGGGAAAAAACCCTGTGAAGCACCGGGGGGGGGGGGGGGGGGGGGGTGAGGGGAGGGGGAGAAGGGGGGGGGGGTAGGGAACCGTTTACACGCGGGGAGGGGCACGGCCGAAAACAAAAGGGCGCGATCGGGGAGAAGCCGCGGGGTGGGGGGGGAGGGGAAATAAGGCGCCGGAGAAGGGGAAAGGGGGGGGGGGGGGGGGGGGCGGCCGCGGCCCCGCTCACCGCGGGCGGCGGCGGCTGCGGAGCCGAGTCAGCGACACAAAGACAAAGCGGGTCCCTGGGGTCCATCCGCGGAGCAGTCTGTGCGGCGGGGCTCGCAGTCCGGGGGGCGGCTCCCCGCGCCCCGCTCTCATGCCTTCCTGCTCTTGAGCGCCTTGGGCTTTGCGGACTTCTTCACCTTCTTGCCCCCCGGGGACGCGGCTCCCTTCTTGGTGGCCTTCTTGGCTTTGCCCTTGTCCTTCTTCGCCGCCGCGCCGCCGGCTCCCTTCTTGTGGGATTTCTTCTCGGGCTTCTTGCTCTTGGTCACTGGCTTCTTATCCGCCCGCCGGGACGTGGAGGCCGTCGCCTTCTTGTGGGACTTGTGGGCACTGCTGCCCGCGCCCCCATCGCCGCCGCCTTCCAGCTTCTTCCTGTTGAGCTTGAAGGAGCCGTTGGCGCCGGTGCCCTTGACCTGGAGCAGGGTGTCGTTCTGCACCAACGCCTTGATGGAGTACTTCAGGTAGGTCCTGCCGTTCTGCTGGTCGAACCAGGCCACCTTCTTGGCCTCGTTGTAGATCTTGGCCAGCGAGGACCCATTGCGCTCCCCCAGCTTGCGGATCGTCTCCACCACCAGCTGGCTGTATTTGCCCGGCTGGTTCTTCTTCTTGTTGTTCTTCTTCTTCTTCGACGGCGACAGCGAGGAGCCGCCGCCGCCGCCGCCTCCTCCGCCGCCGCCGCCGCCTTTCGCCTTCTTAGCGGCCGCTTTCTTCTCCGGGGCGAGCGGCACTTCCTCCGCCTCGGTCAGAGGCAGATCGGCTTCTTCCAGCTCCACCGACATGGTGCCGCCGCGGGGGCGCGGGCCGCAGGCCGATGGCGGGCAGGGGCAGCCGCGGCGTGGCGGGGGGGCCGGCGCGGCGCGCTGCTGCCTCACTCCGTTGCCGCCGCCGCCGCTCTGGCGGGGCGGGCGCCGCCGCCGCCCTTTATATGGGCGCGGGGCGGACCACGTTGAGAACAACAACAGCCTGGTCCGCCGCCAGCTCCAACTTGTGCTTCTTGGGGCCCTTTCGCGGGGCTCCCGCGCCGCCGCCCGGGCCCCCCGCGCCGCCCCCCCCGCCCCGCGCCCCGCGCCCCGCCGCCCCCCACCCCGCCGCCGCCCCCCCGCCCCCCGCCGCGCCCCGCCCGCCGCCCCCCGCCGCGATTTCGGGGGCGCGCCCGGCGCGGCGGCGGGAGCGAGGAGGGGGGCGCCCGGCGCGGCGGCGGCTGGAGCCTCGCGGCGGACCCCCCCGGCATCGCCGCCGCCGCCGCCCGCCGCCCAAGAGGGGCCGCCGCGGGGGGGGGGAGGCGGGGGGCGGCGGGGGGCGGCGGCGGCGGCGCTGGCCCCGGGTTCTCCGGAGGGAACTAACACAGGCGACGCCCTCCCGCGGCCGCCGGCAGCAGCGCGGAAGCGCCGAGACGAGGCCGGGGGTCCCCGCCCCGGCGAACGGCAGCCGACCCCCCCCACCGACCCCCCCCTCCCCCCCGCCCGGACGGGGCCCCCGAGGGGGGAGGCCTGTTTGTAGGGTGTGCCCCCCCCCCCTTCCCCCCGCCCCCGCGCGGGTATCGCCCCGCAGCGGAGGATGCGGGCAACGCGGCCGGCCCAGAGAGGGGGGACACTGGGGGGGGGGCGCCCCCAGCTTGGCACGGTGTGTGTCGGGGAGGGGGGGCAGTGAATCGCTGCAGCCCCCGCGCCCCACAGGCGGGGGTGGGCCGCGGCTCTTAGCTCAGCTGCAGGCCGCAACTATGCATGGGTTTGGGGGGGGGGGCAGAAGTGGTGCTGTGATCACCCTCCAAAGACACACACACACACACACACACACACACACGGGAAATCCTGGCATTTCCCGGGGTTGGAGGGTTGGGAGGGGGGGGCTGTGCACAATGATGCCCCACTCCCGCCCTTTGCCGCGCGCCGGGGCGTGGAGGGGCCCCCCCACACCTGAGACTGGGATCTGTGTGCCACACACACACACACAAAAATTCCCCGTGGGGGTTCGAGGGTGTGAGTGCGCAGGGGCATCCCCGCAGCCAGCACACGCGTGCCCGCCGGGGCCCGCAGGCGTGTGCGGGGACACGGTGCACGCGCACAGGCGTGTACACACACGTACCCCCGCCACACACACACACACACACACACGCACACACATGCACACGCACATACATGCACACGCACACACATGCACACGCTGTCGCACCCCGCCCCCTGCCCACGCACGCTGCGCCGAGCCCGCACAGCCCCGCCGCCTCCCCTTCCTCCTCCTCCTCCTCCTCCTCCTCCTCTCCCCATCCCCCGGCTCCTCTCCGCCATTTCCCTCGCCCGCGCCCCCGCCGCCCGCCGTGGAGGGGGGGAGGAGGGGGTGTCCGTGGGGGCCACTCGCCGGGCACCCCCCGTGCTGGGGCCGGATCCTGACCGGCCGTGTGTGTGTGTCTGTGTGTGTGTGTGTCTGTGTGTGTGTGTGTCTGTGTGTGTGTGTGTCTGTGTGTGTGTGTGTGGGGGGGTGGGGTGGGGGGGTATGGGTGTCCCCCACCCCTGAGCGACACCCCCCCCTTTCATAACTGCGAGGTTCTCCCCCCCCCCCCCAGCAGCCGTGGCCAGGCATCCCTGCGATGAGTTGCACCCGGTCTCGGGGACCTGCGAGGCCCTCGGGCAGGAGGACTGGGGCGTCGCCCGGGGCGGGGGGGGGGGCACAGGACACGGGACCCCCCCCAGCGGGAGCCCCTCGGGGCGGGCAGCATCGCACACCCACCCGTGGGCCACTGCCCCCACTGTCCCGCCTGCACGGCTGCAACGGGGTGGGGAGGGGGGAGGTGTAATGTATAGATACGTGTGCGTGTGAGATACATGCACGAATCCGAGTGGCAGCATGTGTAGGTCCAATGCTGTAACCAAATGGAAACTTACAGCGAAGCTGGCTATAGGGGTGTATAGGGGGAGTGTGCGTGTCATGTATGTAATATGTATGTGCAATATATAATAGTTATTATTTATTGTAGTAGCTTTACGTAAATTGAAAGAAATGGAAGTGCATACATGCACTTAAACACCTAGGTATATATTTTTAAAATACTGACATAGACATACCAATATTTAAATAGAACCTGCCAGGGTGGGTGGGTGGGGGCGCGGTTGAGGCGGGGCAGGGAGGAGCTCACGCGTGGTAGTGGGGGCTGTGGGCGTGCAGCGAGCCCCGGGGCCCGGCCCAGCCCCCACGGGCGCCCGGCGTGTCCCTGCCCACGGCCCCCGGCCCCGCAGCGGGGATAGGAAACAGAAGGCGCGGGTAGAGATCTGTGAAGGTATAAATATTTGAATAAAATCCAAAGGGGGAGGCTCTGTGTGTGTGTGTGTGTGTGTGTGTGCTGAGAGAGGTACACGGAGAGTGGGAGAAAACAGCCCCAACACACAGAGACACATCCTCTCCCTATATGTACATACATACTTATATAGGCACAGAGAGCCAGCTTTGTTCACATACACATCTCTCTCTCATACGCATATACAATAGAGCTGGTCACACGTACACACACACTTCCCCCTCACGTGCTCTGTATATGCATATCTACACATATACTGGGCGGGAGCGAGCTGCTCTCAGGTAGCTACTCTTGCTATATACACATATAGGCATAGATGCATACTCACACACACTGCTATCAGTATATATATACATATATACAGAGTATAGAGAGGTTCATACAGTTCTCTTACTATATATAGAGACATATATGGTCTCTATAGTGAGAGTGAGAGCATGCTGTTCAAATACACAAACAATAGTCTCACTACACACACACACAAGTATGCATAACGCATGCATATATATTGCTATGGGGCGAGAGACACGTTCTCTCCCTCTCTCTTTCTTTCTCCCCCTCCTTGACCTCTCTGTATGCACATACATATACATACACACACACACACACACTGAGAACATGTGATATTTCACACACAGAAACACACTACCCTCCCCAATATATAGAATTACATATATACATCTGTACTTAGCTGTTCATGCACAAATACATACACAGTATTCTCTCTTGCTATATACATACGTATATGCATAGATATATACATACTTAGGGTGAGAGCTGTTCACACACATTCTCTTGCTGTCTCTATATATAGATATATATATGCATCTTGAGAGAAAGAGGGAGAGTTATTCTCTCTCACACACATATTTTCTACCATTCTATCTCTCCCCACCCCATATACATAATTACTGGGGTGTCGAAATGTGTGTGTATCTCTGCGTGTGTGTGTGTGTGTGTGTATTCTCTCTTTGTATGGATATACATATGTAGAGAGTGAGAGTATTTCTAACACAGAAAATACTGTCTCTGTATAGATCCATATGTACATGTGTACTTACATATATAGACTGTGCACATAGTTCTCTATATAGGCACATTTGAATGCTTATACAAACACAAACCATCTCCATATATACTGAGCTGCTCATACACAAATGATGCTCCTTTCTCTTGCTCATGCTGTATGTATAAATATATATGCATATATACTCTCTCCATATACAGAGTTCACACACATAGGTCTTGCTATAAGCACACACATGTGTATATGGGGGGGAGAGAGCTGTTCACACATATGTAATTTGCTCACTACATATATATATATATATACATAGGAAGAGAGCTGTTCACACAAATACTCTTGTGCTGTATATATACATATACACATACACGTATGTATATGTGTGTGTGTATATGCAGAGCTGTTCTCACACGCATATACCATCTCTCCCCATATGCTGATATACATATATGTACACACACGCACATGTATATATATAGAGAGAGCTGTTCTCAAACACATAATTTACTACATAAAAAATATGCACATATAATGAAAGATCTGTTCTTTCACACACACACTTCTCTCTTGAGCAAGTATATGTACATATTTATGCACATACACACAAATATACAAAGAAGGAGTGTGAGATGTTCACACACAGAGTGTCGCTGTACACATACACACGCATATAGAGAGAAAGGCGGGGAGAACTGTTCAAACACAAGTCTCTCACTACACATACATGCACACACACACACATATATATGCATATACACGTATGTGCTGGTATGGGGAGAGATCTGCTCTCTCTGACAGACACACACTTCTCTCTCTCAATATGTACATGTATATATACACACACGGACACATGCTATAGAAAATTGCATAGCTACAGCTCTACTTAGAGCGCTGTTCACACACAAATGCAGGTACAGTGTTGTCCTCTCTCTCTCTCTGCATAGATACGTATATACAGAGCTGTTCACACACATTGTCTCTCTTGCTGTACCTGTATATTTAGACATATATATGTAACAAAATGAGTGAGAGCAATTCATACACACAAACACATTTTTCATCGCTCTTCCCCCCCACCCCCTATAATCTCTGGGGTGCATAAATATGTATCAGTATATTCTCTCGCTGTATGTAAATGCATAAGTAGAGATTGCAAGAGCCATTACACACACACTACTCCCTCTTGCTATATATATGAATACATAGATGTACAGATACATATATACACACAGAGATTGTTCACACACATAGGTCTCACTCTTTCTCTATACATACATTCATATAGAGAGTGCATACTGTTTACACAAAACCCACACTATTCTGTCCATATGTATGCATACATATGTATATACTTAGTGAGCTGTTTTCACACACAATACTCCTCTCTTGCTATATACATATATATGCCAATACACATATGCACTCTATATGGAAAGACTGCTGTTACAAACACACTTCTCTCACTAGATATATAGATATATACTTAGAGAGCTGTTAACACTCACAATTTTCTTCCTATATATACACACATATATTTATATACATACATATATACAGAGGCAGCTGTTCACTCACACACTTGCAC